GAATAAACTGAATAAATATTAATGATTACGAAGAGAAGCGCGTATAGCACGATTTCTTTTGCCTACGCTTCACCGCGAAAGCCAGGTCAATCACTGGAGTATGCAGTAGTAAACAAAAAATGTAGAGCTCATTTTGGAACAAAGTGATATCTGTCACGGGACCCTTGCATTGCCCGCTATGAATTTTACTTTATTGAAAAAATTATTAACATCCGAGTTAGCTCGAGTTAGACGGTAAAGGCCCGGGGGGGGAGGAACTCCGCATATGAAAGGGGTGGGGATGCTCGTCGGAAATTTTGAATTAAACCCCTAAAGGAGCCCGATCTGGGCGTGGCCCAAGCTTTTTTGGACCCCTAAAAGAGACCATGTTGAAACACAGACAATTGATATATTTTCATATTTTTATTCACGTGCAACCCTAAACGAGACCTTCAGGGCTAAATATGATGGCGTTTTGCCCAGAACACCCTAAGTGAGACCAAAATCCGAAATTTACACCCCTAAGCGAGACGACGAGCATCCCCACCACTTTCATATGCGGAGTCCCCCCCGCCCCGGGGTAAAGGAACAAAGAATTAGATTTATTCAGCTTTTTCTTGCAAGACGACATCTTATATTAAAAGTATATATTATTTATATATGATTAGATTCTACGTAAATTGAGAATACGAATATTGAGAAAAAGTGAGCAGCACGCTCGCTGGTGAGGCGAGCACAATTTAAGCAGTTTAGAATCATGTAAAATAACTTAAACTATTCAATTTGTAAATTAAACGTGTCGTAATGCCTTTACCTTAAAAGGGATTGCTCTAGTAAGCTGATGTTAAGCAAGAATGCATGTATTCAGTTAAATCTAGTTCTATGTTTGCACAAAACAGTTGAATAAACTTTATTTTATAAGAGAAAAAAATTGGTATGGTTTTATTGTTTGAAAGCTCTTATATAATCAATCTACTGCATTAACTATAAAAGAATTAAAGCTGAAAGCAAAATTGCCGATGTCTAGTCTCTTCAAACACATGAAGCAAATATAGCTCGACAATAAGAAACTTCTCTCAGCGCGCAGGAAAAATAAACTCTGAGTTATCTCGGTGAACTGAGCCACATTTCGTTGATCAATTAAAGATGAAGTTCTTTATCTTTTTAATTCTTTGCACTGGCTTGGTAAGTTAACAGCTGGGCTACTTTTACATTTCTTTTCCTAAATATACTTGCAATATTATAACCCAGTCCAATTTTGGCGTAAGGAAGTTTCAGGTGTAAAATAAAGCTTTCTAAAAACACTCTTACGCCGGAATATTGGCATTCAATCACAGTTGCTCATTTATTTTTTTCAAAAAACATTACATTTTCTCCATGCTCGCGCAGAACTTTCCAAGTTTAAAGTTTGCAACAAACCGGTAAGTCCTGAGGTTTTGTTCCTTGGTAAATGGTAATTCCATATTGGAGGTGATTGGCACGACATCAAAGATTTTATTAGTCAAACATGAGGGCCTGAATGTACGATATTGAGAACTTAACTAGTTAGGAAAGTGCCATGATCTCCTAGGCTTCACCGGTACCATTAATATATTGAAGACTGAATCGGTAAGTCGTTTCAAGGTTTTTTGCTACGATGTTAAAGAATTTTATTGGTAACTTTTTTAAGGTTTGCATGCCACGACTTCAAAAAAATCTATTGACATTGACAGATTTATTCATGTTAAAGGCGTCGTCAGTAAAGCTGGTGTTCTATTTTATTTTCCTGTTCTACCCCTTCACTCAGTTATCCGAGGAGCTGTTTTACTCGATTTTTCTCATGATGTATCTGTCTTCAGGACGGCGACGACTACAGTTGCCAAGCTGGATTGTCCTGTGTCCAGACAAAGCTTTTCATCATGAAAGGACAAAAAGCCTACGTCAAACAGTGCATGCCGGAAGGGATGAAGATTGACGTCGAAACAGTCAACAAGGATCATGATCAAACCTCCAGAAACAGTCGATTATTCCCTGGATTACCTCAGTTACCAGGCCAAGTAAGAAACTAACAAAAAAAGAGGGGTTTTGCAAATATAACAGTATTGACACAATTTACCCGCCACACCAGAAAGTACTATAGGCAACAATGACCGACAATTTCTCAAGATGCCACTCCCAAATCGAACAAAACCCATGGGACTCCAACGGGTCTAACTCCTTTCTTTTTAGTGAAAAGTAGTTTAATTGGGTTTGAATGTAGACCCATCTCCAGACTTCTCTTAACTGAATCTTGTGGGATTTAAAACAACAACAACAATAAGGACGTAACAATCGCGCAGGGGCCACACCTAGCTATATGGTGGGTGGGGATGATGCCTTACATGGGACCTTTGAGTCCTGTTCGTACCCCTCCCTAGTGGGTAGGTCGTTGGCCATTCAAGCAGATACGTCCTCTCCGCATTGGCGATGGAGTCAACGCCAACGGCATTGAGGTTTGGGCTGAAAAGTCTCTGTTTCAATCTCAATTAATGGTAAGTAACACTTAGCCTTTCCCAACGCATCATCTTTAAAACAATTGCTTGTTGTTTCTTATACAGAGTTGCCGTTCTGAGGGTGATTGCCAACAGAATCAATGCTGTCCTCGCTTTGTCAACCGATGCCTTCCAAAACTGCCAGAGATGGCAGAATGCTCTCTAAAGGTATATGTTAAAGTCTTTATGTTACCATCAGCTACACGGGTACTAGATGACTCCGCTCGAAAGAGGTTCCAATTTCATGCCTCAGGTATTTTTCCACGAGTTAATGCCGGCTATGAAAGGGTGCTGAAGTTTGCCGAGCATTAGAGCATTTATAACAGGTGCACCTTTCACCGGCTTTATCACCTACATTTAATTATCAAATGCTGCATGAAATCGACAAGAGCACCTTCTGTGAAAGATGTACCATTTAGCGGTATACCTGTTCTGGTATGTAAAAAGGTAAGGGGTTGAACTCGGCTCAGGGCTGAGTCTTTAGTATATAACTTAGTTTAGTAGCCCAATCCTCCAGGAGATTTCCGTAATGCTGGTGTTCATAGGTTACAAAAAGTGGCTTTAAACACCACTGTAGTAAGTCAAATGTTACAATATATTCAGTTTGCGCAAACGAGTGCTTTCTTTTTTCAACTCTAGATATTACACAACTGTGGCTGTCAAGATGGACTGAAATGCCAAAAGACGGGCGAAGTCACGATTCCGATCATTGGCATCAAAGTTCCGCTACTGCAGTGCGTGTCGTCTGTTCCAGGAGGAGGAATTTCTTAGAAGGCTTCGACTGCCACACGAAGTTACAGCTAGAGTAAACGTAGTTGAAATAAAAGAATACTTTAAGACCCCTTAAAGTCTAAGATTGTTGTCCCTTTTGCCTAAGATTATTCTCCTATATTTTTTTGCCGCGAATTTTCCTTTTGAGAAAGAGAGAAGTGACAATTTGACAACTAACAATAAAAAGGTGTTGGTTTCAAAAGGAACTGAGTTATTGCGTTGGTAACGGGAGTGAAAGACTACGACATTCTAGTTGTTAAGGTGAATTTACCACCGTAAAAGGGCTGAAAAGGTCAGTAACGTTTCGAGCCAGGTAGCCCTTTGTAATTCTACCGCAATATACAGGCAAAGGCTCCCCGGGGGGTACACAATAAAAAGCAAGGGGACGGCTCCACCCAGAAGTCCAACCATATCAATTTTTGACAGAAAAAGAACCCCTTTCGTTTTTCATTGACAAATGGTATCCCTTTCCCCTACTAGCTTAGAGCGTTATATCCCTTTTAAATTTTGTAAATGCACCGTCTTTTAAATACAAACAACTCAGTAAACAGAGAAGTTTTTTTGGCTTTTTCACAGCCATAAAATGCGTCTGTCAGCCCTTTTAGGTCCTTTCACAGACCGCAATGACAGATTTCCCTACCCTGATTCTCCGCAGAAAAATTGTTTGAAAAATGATTTACCACGTAGCCCGGGGGGGGGACTCCCATATGAAACAGACGGGGATGCTCGTCGTCTCGCTTAGGGGTGTAAATTTTGGATTTTGGTCTCGCTTAGGATGTTCCGGGCAAAGCGCTAATAATTTAAGCCGCCTAGGTCTCGTTTAGGGTTCCGCGAAGAACTTGAGATTTATGACAATGCTTTTAAAAACTACTTTTAGATAAAAGCATTCGATGATTATATCTTTATATCATTAAAACTCATTGCATGTCGTATTTGTGTGTTTTTAAGCGGTCTCTTTTAGGGGTCAAAATTTGCTTAAGTCACGCCCAGATTCGTCTCCTTTAGGGGTCACAAAAAGCTTGAGCCACGCCCAGATGGTCTCCTTTAGGGGTTAAATTCAAAATTTCCAACGAGCATCCCCGTCTGTTTCATATGGGAGTCCCCCCCCCGGGCCACGTAGACGCTAATGTGATATATGTCGCACCATGAAATGAGATTTAAAAAGGACATCTTTACATAGCAAATGAGGCTTTGCCTTTGAATGCAGCTAAATCAACTCATTGGGTTATTCTAATTGATTTGAGGTTTTCGAAAGCAAAAACGTTATGGCTAATGTCAACACCCTAAGCTTGTTTGCTTTCATTTTTAAATACTACAACGATGCTAGTAAATGTAAACACACAATTGCAATTGGTCAGCTTATGAACACCCGGACTGGCTATGAATTCTTTTCAGACTTTGTTCTATTTCAATAGTTCAGTAGACATTTCCTGGCTACGAAAAGATATTCATTTTAAGAATAATTAGGATGCCAACATTTGAACAGCTTAGGTCCTTTTTTATTATTGTCTTCAGCGATGCTGAAGACAACTGATATTGCAAACGTTTTGCTTTAATTATAAATAAGAATTATTAAAGTTCCGTTAAGCCTTCTCTTACATAACAGAAACAGAACGCACACCTCTGCCGCCAACTACTCTTTAAAAGAAAATCTCCTTGGACCAGTTCACTTTGTGCAAAACGCTATGAAGATTCTCTTCCTTTCTGGTATTCTTATTGGCCTGTCATTTGTAAGTCTAAACACCGTTTCTTAGAGTTACTGACAAACTCGTTAACCTTCCCTGTTGCCAGGTATGTACTGTTAAAAACAAGCAATGTATTTATTGAACTACTTTTGTTTCCTAAGGGTTGTTCGGATCTTCCTAAGCTTGCGGCATGCAACAACCCGGTGAGTTTACGTTCGGTAGTAAAAGTTTCGGTTTGTCACTCCATTGCAGACTGAACCTGCAAATCATTGACTCCAAACACCATGACAAAGACCGGGGACGGGGCTCCTCCCGAAATTAAGGGGTACCTTCTTCATGCGTTAGGTATATGAAAGGTACGGATTTCACTAGTTGAAGTATACAAAAGGGTACGGAAATCTGTCATTGCGGTCTGTAAAAATACCCAATAAAGCTGACATATGCATTCTATGGTTGTGATTAAGTCGAGAAAACGTTCTGGTTTTGTGATTTATTCATATTCTAAAGACAATGCATTTACAGCAGTTAAAAGAAATGCAAAGCTGTAAACAAGGTATGTGAAAGGGTACCATTCTTCAATAGAATGTATACGAAAGGGGTACCTTTACTGTCAAAAATGGTATATAAAGAAAAAGTGGTTGGACCTCGGAGCGGAGCCTCCCCATATAAAACCCCCTGTGAACAAGAGAAGCGTGTAATAAAAGGTAACAGGAGCTGGCTCCTGAAGCAGGGTTCGTTGAAACTTGGCCACCTAAAAAGACTGACTGATTTGGAACTTGACATTATTGAACGCTAGAACTTTGGCAAAGGGGAACGTGGCGATTATGAGGTTTTTAAAAGACGGAATCTCGTTTATGATGGCTCGCTGAAAAGAAACCCATCTCTTGTTTTGTATTTCCCTTCGTAGGATGCTAAGAATTGCACCTGCCAAGCTGGTCTCACCTGCATTCTGACCAAAAAGTTCATCGTTCAAGGAACTGTCACCGATGTTAAACAATGCATGCCGAATAGTATAGATGTTCAAGTGGAAACGGTCAACATGGACAAGAATCCAAACTCTGCTATAGCCAGGATGAAAAGATTTCTTCCACTAGCCGTAAGAATTACTTGAAATATTTTGAATTTGCGAAAATATTGTATTAAAGCCCAGTGAGGCCATCTAATCGGATAACAAGGTAGGAAGGTGGTTTCAGGATAGCAGTCATTTCGGGGGAGGTGGAGGAGGTAATGAATTAAAGTCAAGCCGATGACCGGTGATGACGTTTTTAATGGACCCTTTCCGCCCTCCATGGCCACTGAGTTTAAGAAACTATACCAATAACTTGTCCGATCTAGCCGGCGTAGCTGGCGGGATTAGCGGCGAGGCGAGTGCTGTAGTTTTTTGGCGGCCTAGCTGCGTGAAGATTGAGATTTTCCCTCGCTGCTTCGCCCGTGGCGGCTCCGCTGTCAGGAAAGTAACCTGGGCACAAGAATCCCGCAAGCTACACACGCTAGTCCAATCAACCAATCAGAAGGATTTATGGTCAGTAGCTGTCAGTAGTCTAAAAGTCCAGTAAAATTTGCCTCTTCCTGTGCGGTTTCCCCTATGCCCGCACAGTAGCTCACAGTCAATTCACTTCGGTAACAACCCTTATGGCTCGCATCACCGGAACCATTGGAAATAACGCCTTAACCGCGCGGCGAAAATTTTGAGGCCAAGGAACTTAGCAGCACTTGTATTAGATCCTTAGGGTTTGAAAAAGCGGGTTGTTATTATTTCAAATAATGTTCTTGAAAACAGCGATAATCCCATTCCACGTCTCTTTGAATATGGTGTTGTTTCAAGTCAATGACTTTGTTCCCTAATTAAAAACACTCTTTTTTTCATAAGAATGTTGTTTTCCGGCCCAGGCTGAATATTCCTATTTTTCGGCTGTTTTGGGCTGAAAATATTCTTGTATTATTCTAATCAAAGAAATAATTTATCATGATACTCTTTTCGGTTTTGGTCATTTCTTTTGAATTGTACTCGGTATACGGTACAAATACATCACATGTACCGTTCATCGTCATTAGCAATGAACATTTGGCTATGGTTAGTGCAAGTTTTTTCTTTTTGTTCGCCACTTTAGACTTTTAGAGAGTGTAATAACTTTATACGGAAAGCTAAAAAAGTATACAATGTAATTGTACACATGTACAGTATTTACAGGTTTTCAACACACAAAACTATATCCTAATCAAAATCTCAGCCTCGGGTTTATTCATACAATATTCTTAAAATTTTGCAAATTTCAGCCTTCATACTCTTATCAAAAGAAAAGAGTGGTGAGGGCATGAGGTCTCGGCGGCCGGTTATTTTGCAAACAGTTTACACATTTTTTTTTTTCAGTTACATTGTACTTGAAATGTAATGTCTTTTTTCCAATAGCCATGTGCCAGCGAACTGACATGTCTACCGAATTTCTGTTGTCCACGTTTAGTCCAGCGGTGCCTGCCAAAACTACCAGAGTTAGCCACGTGCACACTCCAGGTAAGTAACATGCATAGCTTTGTTGCAATAGGGAGCTTAACCCTTTAAGCCCTAATATACACATACAAATTGTACAAACTGATCTCTATATATTTCCTTAAACTGTTAAAGAATGAGTTGAGAGAATTTGATAAAAGATTAAAGCATTTTCTCTTAGGCGATCATTTTATTAATTCTCATAACCTAATCTCTTGACAATGTATGGATATCATTAAGAGAAAATTGAAGTTATTCTATGGAGGTAACTCTCCAGATAATTGCCGGCACCATCCCCACAATATTCCGCCCGTTTCGACGTGAGGCTGCAGTCTAATGTGTATGTCCAGTTCTGCAGTTTACATCTCAACTCGCTAGTAAGGTATTGGCTTTCTTTTTCGTTCTGATGCTCCATCATCCCTTTCTTAATAGGCAGATATACATTTTCTTAGTGATTGTTCTATGACCTTCTATGCCATTCTCTTGGCTTAACTTGAAACGTTCTGGCCAAGCGGGGGTCTGGGTCTAGTCATCGTAAATCGAGACAAAAAAAGCTCCACTCCTATTGCTTCTAGACGTGCTCATCTTCTTGACTGGGGGATAGCCACAGATCAGGATAACGATGAAGTGAAATGGTACCTCTTGTTTTGAATTTCCTTTAGATATTACATAATTGTGGTTGCCAGATGGGATTTGAATGTCGACAGACGACCTACGTGACGATTCCCCTGATAGGAATCAAAGTTCCTCTATTGCAGTGCGTGCGACCTTGAGGTGTCACAAAGTTATGGCCACAGTACGGTAAAGTAGTTAATACAGTAATAGCTGGAAATACAAGAAATACAAACTGTAATAAGGTAAAGAACAAAATAAAACACAAACTAAATATGACTCAACTTTAAGTTATGGCTATTTTAGAAATCTATTAATGTTGCGTTCGATATGAGTAGTTTTCTTAAACCCTGTTTATATGAAGAAAGGTTATCCTGGGAAAGCGGGTCACCATCTCAGCCGTGTCAACTTTAGCGAGCTGTTATATGACAAAAAAGTTGCCCCCTTTGTCCGACCAACAGCGCTCGGGCATGCTAGTCTAAAACAGCTCCTGCGTAAGCTCTGATTGTCGATCGCCTCAGCGGATCGAGTTGACCCGGATGGGCGAGTCAAGGTGTTAATAATTATGGAGAAAAGTTGGCCTGTCTAGGAGCATGACCCTACCATCGAAAACGGGTGACCTGGATGGGCGGGTCTGGTCACCCTAAAGAAATGTAAGAAAACTTTGCTAACCCAGGGTAGCTCGGGTGGGAGAGTAACTCTTCTATCTGGGACAACTATTTTTTCATATTGATAAGAACCCAACCTTGTTCCCAGATTCTCTCTCGCTCCGTAGGGACGGGTAGGAGAGAACCCTGGGAACGAGGTTGACAACGATTCAGAACGTAAAATTGTATGTATATTCAGATTAAACAGTAAAAACTGAGAAATCTACTGCTAAAGCCCTAAAGCTTTTTCAATTGATTGAAGTCGTACATATAAATATAATTTACTACATTTGTTTCTTGTTTCTGGACGAAAGATTATCTCTCTAAAAAATTTGCATGTCCTTTCCAAAAAGAATACCTTTTAAAAAAGTTGCTTGCAGAATTTATTTCTCCACTTGGTCACCAAGCTGAAGGAGATTCAGAAATCTAAAGAAAGAAACAAGCTGTTGTTAATAATCATCGTCTTCACTATCATCACTCAAAATATTTCTCCGGTTGTAATTGGTTCAAATCCCCTGGCCAATTCTTCATAACGAGCTTGCTTTGACCAAATTTGAAAGACGTTGTGTTATCCTGTAAGATGACGTCAATCCAGGAAAGGGACGGCAACCGAAAGGTCTGGGATAAGGTTGCATAAGCTCAATTTTTTAATAGAGCTGTCCGAGAAAATGGCGAAACTTTTCACCGTTTTTCGAAGAAGAAATAGCCAACCTTCTGCACTGCCTAAAACCAAAGCATGAACAGCAACAGTAACACCTGTCATCAGACGTCTCATTATCAGACACCTGACATCAGACATCTGATATCAGACATCTGACATCAGACGTCTGCTAACAGAAATCTGACATCAGATGTCTGATGTCAGACGTCTGAAATCAGACATCTAAAATCAGACGTGTAACATTAGACATTTGAAATCAGACGTCAGACGTCTGATAACAGAAATCTGGCATGAGACGTCAGACGTCTGATATCAGACGTCTGATATGAGACGTCTCACATTCAGAGGTCTGATAACAGAAATCTGACATCAGACATCTGATATCAGACCTTTGAAATCTGCCGTCAGACGTCTGATAACAGAAATCTGACATCAGACGTCTGATATCAGACACCTGACATCAGACGTCTGACATCAGAAATGATAGTCCCAAGTTTGGATAGCTCAGTTCTATCCAACAGATAAATTACTTCCAATGGATAAGCATTGGGAAAACCAATTAGTTTTTACGTTATCTACTGGAGAGAGATTTACACAATGTAAAGCTCTATCCACATTTTGAACAACTAAAACCTGGCGTGCATTTT